TCTGCTTGGGTGACCAGTGGGGGGGCAAAGGATGCCCGCAGGATCTGGCCCCAGCTGGGCACAGGGTGATACCCAGCTCTACTGGGATGGGGACACTGGGTTGGGGCTGGGTTGCAGATGCAGGTAAGTGGTGGGAAAGAAGGGGAGGTGGGAGCTAAGAGGGTGCTGGTGGGGCTGTGTGGTGCCCAGGCTGATGGATCTGCCCTCCAGACTGCTCCCGACCCAACCTGGCTCGTCCATCCTTCCTGCCCTCCAGCACCTCCATGAACATGCCCCACTCCTTCGGCTCTGTGGGTGGGCTGGTGCTGGGGGACAGCCCTCTGCCCACCAGTCCCAATGGCACAAAGCATCCAGTCCCCATCCCCACCGCCTTGCCTGCTAGTGAACTGTGCTGGCCAGTCCGTCCCATGATGCGCAACGAGCTGGACACCTTTTCCATCCACTTCTACATCTTCTTCAGGCCCAATGTGTTAGTGCCGCCTGACCACCCCGCTGTCTTCGTCATCAACCTTCTACCGGTGCTGGATAGTGGTGGGGTGCTCAACCTGGAGCTGCAGCTCAATGTGGTGAGGTGGTCACGCTGTGCCCCAGATGGAGCAGGGCAGTCTGGGGGGGACAGGCTGGGAGATGGGTGATGTTGGGGCTTCAGCAAGGTGAGGGACAGGATTTGGGGTGCTCTTGGGTCATGGGCCATGGTTTGTGAGCTCTTGGGTGACAGAGCACAGATTAGGGTGCTCTAAGGGCAGGATGATGGCCTGGATTTGCGGTGTTCTTAGGTGATGGGCAGTGGGTTAGGGCGCTGCTAGGTGGTGTGCCACAAGCCGGGTGCTGTAAGAGCAGGGGACATCCCCACCACTGGTTTAGGGCGGTCTCCTCCTCTGCCATCAGAGCTCCCTGTGTGGTGAGAACGCAACAGTGTTTGGGTGTCTGAACCATGAAGTCCTGCTGATGTCCAGTGACAACGCATCGGTCACCTGTGAGACGGGTAGGCTGGGCTGTGCATGTCCATCCTGCCATGGCTGTGGGTGTCATACCCCCCCATGTGTCCAGTGAGATGATGGGTGGGAGAAGGCAGAGACCATGGGGGCATTTGGCTCTGGAGCCTGGCACAGGGTGCCCTATCCTAGCTCTGCTCAGGGGAAGGGGCTGCCCCCTGCCCTGCTCACCTGGAGCTTTCCCTGCCTGCAGAGTCCCTGGCAGGCTTCCTGCTCTCTGTCAATGCCATGGTCAGCCTCAGCCACCTGCGGATTCCCTACCCACAGACAGGCAGCTGGTACCTGGGCGTGCGCTCACTCTGTGCCACAGAGCATGGGTAAGAGCCCCTGGGGGTCCCCTCCCTGCATGCCCACGTCCCTACCACGGCCTGCATCCATGTGCACCATGTGTCCGTGGGTGTACCTGGTCAGCATGTCACCGCTCATGTGGCTTTGCAGGCTGTGTGTCACCGTGTGAGTGCCTGCATGGGCACAGATGGCTCTAGCTTGCACCTGCCTGATCATCTGCAGGTCACCTTCTGTCTTCCCTCTGTCTCTTGGTTAAGAAGTGCCTGTCAGCTTGCGAATGCTGTGCATCTGTTGGTGCCTGCCTGTCTCTGCAGCAGTGCCCAATCTGTACCCATGCTCGGGAGGGGACCAGGCTGTCCAAGGACAAGGCTTGGCTGTGTGTATGAGGGGGCAGCTCTGGTCAGGCTGCTGTGTCCCTGCTCTACTCAGCATCTCCGGGGACTGGTCCCATGCCTGCAACTTTGCTCCTGGACTGTGTGTCTGCTCGAGAGCCCTGTGGAGGAGAGGGGTTGTTGTGTGCATGTGTCTGTACATGCGAGTCCATGTGGGGCTCTGTGCCATGCAGATGGTGCTCTCTGTGTGTTCAGTGCATGCATGCAGACAGCACTGGGTGTTTGATGCATGCATGTGATTGGTGCTGCATGCACATTTGGTGCATGCATGCAGATAGTGCTGCGTGTGTGTTTGGGTTTGTGCAAGCAGACAGGGCTGTGTATTCTTTGTGCATGTGTGCAGAATTGGCTGTGTGAACATGCGCAGGAACAGTAGACACACGTGCAGACATGTCCTGTGCATGTGTGCAGATGGCGCTGTGTGCATATTTGTGCATGTTTGGGTACCTGTGTGTGCACAGGCAGCACTTGGTGCATGCTCTCTGGATGTGGGCCTGTCTGTGCTCCTGCGTGCTGGAGGCTGCTGAGGTGCTAGGTATGCACAGAGCTGTGTGCATGGGAGGCATGGGGCAACGAGGGTGGTGTGCCTGCTCTGACTCCTCTGCTGTGTTTCTAGTTCACGCTGAGTTGCCAGTTGCAGTCAGTCCTTCCACAACACGGTCACACGCAGGCATTGCAAGGCACGGTGTTTACACAGCAAAATCCAGACAAAATAGGAGCCAACAGCATTGCTAAAGGCAAAGTAGGTCTAAGCACGGCCACGTCCTTCCTACTCACCCAGCCTGGCACAGACAATTGCAGCGCAAAGATCCTTGGGGACCAGCTCTGAGCTGCCATGTGTAGCACCAAAGCAGCTCATTTCTGTGCTTGCTGAGTCTCTGGGTATCCCATAGTCAGCAACATCTGGGTGCAGCGGGTGCCTCTGGTGGAGGTGGGAGCTGCTTGAGGGGTGCAGGGTGAGGGCTGACCCCTTCCTCCTGTGCTGCAGGTTTGAGCCTTGCACCAACGTGACAGCTGAGGTGTACCTGCACACCTACCTCTCGCCCTGCATCAATGACTGTAGCATCTATGGCCAGTGCAAGCTGCTGCGCACCAACAACTACCTGTATGCCGCCTGCGAGTGCAAAGCTGGTGAGAGCTTCCCCAGGCACCCACAGTACCTGCTGCACCTGGGGACCACCCTGGCATCCTCCCCGGGGGTTGTGCACCCCATTAGTCCTCCTGTGCCAGCTCTCTGCAGGGTGCTGGAAAGGGGCTTTCCCTCCCCCTCCCCAGCCACTGCGGGTGCTGCAGGGGTAATGGTGACTCTCCCCGGCCACAGGCTGGAACGGCTGGGGCTGCACAGACAATGACGAGGCTTTCTCCTATGGTTTCCAGCTCCTCTCCACACTGCTGCTGTACCTCAGCAATGTCATGTTTGTGCCTCCTGTGGGCATTGCCATCCACAGCCACTGCCTCCTGGAAGCTGCCATCTACCT